CAGCTATCACTACTAGCTCTTGTAAGAGCTTCACAGCTATATTCTCTTGGAGGAGAGGTTCACCCTGTGACGAGACCAATCTCGCCACATTGCATTGGAGAAGCCTGGTTGCTCACCTGCTGCCTTTGGACTATGGCCCCCTTTTAAAAGACTTTATTTTTCCATGCAGAAAAGCCATATTCATGCTTTTCTGCCGGTTGTTCGGTAGTTTCAATCTACCGAACAACCGTACGAATGACTGGACCACCTGGGAGCTGGAGTGTGCCGGCAATTAACCTCCCTGAAGCTGCGGTTAACCGCAGCTTAATTGATGAACGCTGGGTGGCCGCCGTTCGTATCCCGAACACGAGGTCGCGGCCATTTTAAACCATACGAATGAACAGCGGTGTTCGCCTCTATTTTCATGGAACTAAAATCGGACACAGTTTTGCGCGAACACCGCTGAAGCCGCCGACCTCCCTTCTTGTTAGGTGAAAGCACACGAATGACCCGGTGTTCGGTATTTTTGTGTGAATGTCTTATACCCCAGATAGGAATCCCATGGAGCCCATTCGTATGAAACTGACTGTAAAGACTTTGGCTCCATGGCGATTGAACTGTATTCGTGTAGTCTGAGTGCCATTCACCTAATAATGTGCACTCAGACCTTAGCTATCTGGGGATATGTTACATGTCTGTGGTTTATGTAGTAAATGTTACTTTGTGCATTTTAAAGTGTTATGCTGGTTTTGTGTTCCCACGTGTGTAATGGAGTTTTGCCTTTGTCTTGGGAGATAATTGAGTTACTTCCCAATTATCTCACAGGGCAGAGGGGAGGAAGCCAGGATGCATTGTGGGAATATACTGTGACTGTGTGTCCTTTTTGTATACTTGTCTGTCCCTTGTCACAGTCTCCCATTTGGTCCCCTAGGGGGGTGTCCACCAGGTGGGAGACCTGCATAAAAGCTGGGCAGGTAGCCCTCATTAAACAGACCACTGCTTGACCCTCAACACGGAGCTTTGTCTCGTCTTTGTGGGGATTTACTGTATGCTGCTAAGGACTGATTGCCAGGAGTGTAAGCCGCTTGGGAGCTTTTCCTGTTCGTCTGGTAGCAGCAATTCGTATGGTTCCTGTTCGTGTATTTGGAGTGCTACCTTATTCCCTTGTATGCCGTTCGGGAGTTTGGAGCATTCACTTGTATGCAGTTCGAGAGTTTGGAGCATTCACTTGTATGCAGTTCGAGTGTTTGGACCATTCCCTTGTATGCAGTTCGAGTGTTTGGAGCATTCCCTTGTATGCCGTTCGGGAGCTTGGAGCATTCACTTGTATTCAGTTCATGAGTTTTGGTGATTCTACAGTAGCTGTGCCTGTCTCTGAAAGGGGGATTATCGTCTAAGCGGTTTTTTTCCCCTTTTGTGCAAAACGGTCCGTTACACACCCACTGGAAGCTGGATCCTGGTCTTGGGCCCAGGGTGGGTGGAGGACAGCAAGACCCCAACCAAGCTGACCAGCGGTGTTCGGTCGTCGAGTGCGTGGAACTATAATCGGACACTCGACCTCCTGAACACTGCTGAACTTCCATCTTGTTCGTATGTTTGTTTCCTTTCGTCTAGAAAAAGTGCTTATGGTGTCCTGTGTAGACAGTGCTTATGGTGTGTCCGGTGCGGCGCTTATGGTCTTCAGCATCAGCTAGGAAGCATTGATTGGCGGAGGTACCTAGTTGGGGTGCCAGGTGGTCCATCACAGATAGATTTTGAGGCACTTTTTGAATGATTGAAGACTAGGGAAGAGCTTGATGGTCATAGTCAGGCTATTCCAAAGGAAGGGAGCCACCCCCAAGAAGTCCTGTAAGTGCAACTGAAGAAAATTGATGGTAGGGAAGGATTCAATGGTGGAGCCTGTCAAGAGACAGAAAGAAGTGTGTGTTTTATAAAATATCTGTCTATTCTCTTCATCGAGCATCTCACCTTTTGTAGGAGGGTGGTGGGGTAAAAGTGGTGTCCAGTATGTGGGAGTATAAAAGTGAAATAGCGTCTCAGAATTTATACAAACTCCGAACGGGGTAACCGGATGAGTCAGATAAGTGGCCAGATAGGAAGAACTTTTGTGGGGTTATTTATATTTTGGTGGTACTTTCGGGGTGTTGTAAAATTGTAACTTTTTCTGTACCAGGAGATAATTGAGTTTAGTACATTCTCTTACTCAATTATCTCCCTGGTTCAGAGGAGGAGTTTCTTCACTTTAGAATTTGATTGTTTTCCTGTTTTCCATTAAACCAGTCTTATCCCAGCATTAAGCTTTTGCTCACGTGTAGGTTATTATGTGTTACCTGCGATATTGTAACCTGTGGATTATTGGCTTATTATTATTATTATGGGAAAAGAGTGTGCATGGCAGTGATACCTTGGCCGATCGTCACACACCTAAAGCAAGGTCCTATCTTCTGTAACTCTCTGGTCCATAATTCTCCTCAAAACATTTGGAAAATATTTAGAGATCAACCAAGAGAATGTTCTACAATTAAATTTATGTTCATTAATCCCACAGACAACTTAAATTATGTTTTGTACTATTTGACCTTTATGGATTCATCTTCCATTCTGCCATTTCCTCAGACTGCTTGAATCTGTTTTTAAAATAGTAATCAGATAACCACCAGGCTCAGACAAGAGTTTTATTGATCAGGCGAAGCAACTGTGATCACAGTGAGACCTTAGAAAGCAAAGTCCAACATGGTAATAAAGGATTTTTAATACATTGGAAAACGGGGAAACAGAACATGAGCCATCTCCTAATATGGTCAAAACAGTTCAGGATAGTCAGAAAAAAAGAAAAATAAGTCTTTTAAAAATTAGAAATGAAAATACAGTTTGTTCTCCATGGGTTATATTCCATAAAATGGCTGATAATAGCACGATGGCTGACTACAAAGCAATAACAGCTTCTAAATGATATCACTGTCCAGTCTGGTCGTAAACTACATTCATTGCTTCTTGTTACTTTGTAACTGCCTCTGCCTGACATTTTATTGTGTTACGCTGCTTTGCCTCATCAGCCAGCGTCCGTCCCGATCTGAGTCCCTGGAAGAGACTAGTTACGTTGCGCCATCTTTACCTTTCATCAGGAATGTAGTTTTAGGAGCACATGAAGAGTTAAAGGAGCACTTGTAGCTCCTAAAAAAAACAGACTATTTATTTTAGTAATATTAATTATTATGAAAATCCTAAGGACATTACCTTCTCCTGTCCGTTGCTTGCACCCGTACAGCTAACTCACGCTTGCAGGACTTCTCACGGGCGGCTCCCTTCCTATGGTATAGCCTGCCTACCGCCATCAGACTCTCCCCTAGTCTTCAATGGTTTGCCTTAAAACCCATCTCTTTAGGAAAGCCTATGGCCTCCCAGAGTAACCTCTACCTCACATACCTGTCTCTTACTCTCTCCTCCAGCTCTGCTGGAGTCCTAATGTGTCTTATACCCCACCTCCTATACCCTGTGAGCTTGTTTGAGCCGGGTCCTTTTCAACCTATCGTTCCTGTAAGTTTTCTTGTAATTGTCCTATTTATACGTTGTTACATCCCCTCGGAATCTGTAGGCGCAATAAAAATGGCAATAATAATAATAATGTTTACAGCATCATTTAAATGTCCGTATAACTTATTATTGTACAGAAAGGGGTACAGAAAAGTGAGCCGAATTTGGGTAAAAATTCAGATTATTGAAAATCCTCCAACTCAGTTACCGTGACAACGATTCTACGTAGTATCCGAAATACTCTTCATGTTTTTCCTGTATTCCCATTAAAATAAGATGCTTTTGTGAAGGCTGTAAAATCCTGGATATTTAATGACTTTCCACAAAAACTGGAAAAATATCGAAAGATTTTACAGACTTTCTATCTGCGTTGACGTTGTCAGCAAATATTTAAACATCAACAGGAAAGCTGCGTCGCAACGTTTGTCAAGTGTTTAATATTATATTAACATACACTACAAGCAATCACAGCCATCCAAAAATCGATTCATTTACCTGTAATCCAACCGGCAAAACAGCAAGAAAAATAAGGCAGTTTGTCAAATATACAGGAAAATGATTTGCCTAACTTTTTGGACCTATATAGAAAGTTCCCACATCAAACCTGGATTTATTGACTGAGGGAGGTAAACAGAAGGCCCCCCCTCTTTCACACAATGGGGTGGAATTTGTACTTGGAATCAGGAATGACCTGTGAAATCCTCTCTGTGTGGGTGAGAAATGGACGCCTTGCTATTAACCCCTTGTGTGCATAACAGCACTTTGCGTGGCACACAAGGGGTTAAACAGGAGGTAAATTCATGTCTGCCAGTTTTCTCTATAATGGCGCAGAGGGCAGGAAATCTACTCACCTGAACTAATGGGTTCCAAAGGAAATATTTGGTTTAAAAAAAATGAGTCAAATGTTCGGAAATGTTCTTATTTTTTCCTAAACCTACTTTTTTTTTGACAACCACCCATTTAAAAAAAGGGGCCCGTTAGGGGGTTAGATTAATGAAAAAACTTAGATTTATGGATAATTGTGTTAAAAAAAATTCTGCAATATTGTATGCAAAAAACAAAACAAAAACACATTTGAAATATGTGAAATATTATTTTATTATTTATATAGCGCCAGCAAATTCCATAGCGCTGTATAATATTAACTTATCCTATATTGCCAGGTATTATTTATATTGTTAGGTTACTTATAAATTACCAACATAATGTGTAGCGTAGTACAAGATACAGACACAAGGAGAACGTGTGGTGATCTCTGGGGACATAAGCTTACACTTTAAAATAATCCTAGCGCTGTCAGGTGTGTTCCTGCTGGACTCCTCTCTGGGTCAGGGCTTTAAATTTGGGGTGTAATAATGGTTTGAATTTTTTTCTCTTATATCCAGCAACGTTTCTTTGCTGGGAGTTTTTAAATAGCAATAGTTACACTGTGACAATCAGTTGCGATAATTGTTCATTGCTGCTAGAAGCTAGTTAATTCTCCCCTGGCGATGGACTGACTGCGCCAATCGTTGCTCGCCTACGTTTCCTGGTACAGTTTCCAACACCGGTCCAATGCCAAGCAAACACCTCATCCGATGGGTCCCTGGAAAAGGGACACAAAAACACTTGATAAGGAGTGTGGGAAAAATTCTGCAGCATTGATTATCAGAGAGCCTCTCGCTCTGGAATGGTTGCTGGCGTTAGCTCACTGAGCTGAGAATGTCATCGACACTGTTTGAGCAGAGCGGTGAAAGACCTTGTAAAAAATGGGAGGAATGCCATAGGGTCTCACACACAGAGATAAGTGACAAGAAGGTGGCAGGGCCGGGGGCAGGGCTCCAAACCCACACCTGCACGGCTAAACCGCTGACACCACCAAGCAACCAAACTCAGTGACATCAGGGTAGAAAAGTGGACAAAAGCACACAGTGACAAAGAATAGCTTAGCTGGAAGGGTAAGAGTACCAGGGACAGCCTCCCGGCAGAGGTGGTAGCTCTGACATTCGTATCACTGCTCTGACTATACAAGGCAATGGGGATCCCCTCTGCTTTAATGTCCTATGATAGAATTCTGGACAAGCGGTGGATGGCAACTTCCATCACACATCACCTGGCTGAGAATGGTGGTAACATATCATGTTAAATGCAAGTACCCACTAATCCAAAGCCTACCTTTCGAGGCTCCATTTAACACCCAATATTCCCTCCATCACCGTGATGGACAAACCACGGCTACCATTTTACACATGATGGTTTATAGGAATTGCACACGTGGAGCTGAAACTTTCATTCAGTTGATGAATTATTATTTTTATAGTTTTATTTTGCAGCTATTTGCTCAAATTCCAGCTATACAGGATGCCATTTCTTAGAGTTATAGAGGAGAAATGTCTGCTGTTTCCAAAATTATGGGGAAGCTCAGGCCCATGACAGTGCCACAACGATAGCCGACGGTTTGAATGTAACATCGTGAGTAGTCCTCCTGCTGTACGGTGACTCACACACTGTATAAGGGTCATAGGAATTATTGTTTATCAAGAGGAAAGGGAAAATTCCTAGCTCGGTTACCTGGTCACTAATTACTGATGATGACGTGATTTATGTGATCGGAGAGGAGTTGGGTCGATGGAGTAATCTTTCAGCAATCTCCTGGTTCCTGATAAGATCTAGTTCCTAGTCCGAGGTCAGGCTGAGCTGGGTGAAGGTCCGTTAGAAGACAGAGATCATTAAAATAATTACTATTAATCTTTAAAACGCACGTGCCTGGCAATCGAAGAGGCCATTGCTTCTTCTATCTTAAAATCTGCACACACCTACCCTTTAGTCAGGTACATAATAGCAGGTAGGTGCCCCTAAGGTACCGGTATATTGTGGCTGCCAAAGATTGTAGCGCAGAATATTTATCTCTGAAATCTCCTGGTTTCGGGAGGAGTTCTGAAGTTTCCCCATTGCACCATTATGTATTATTAGGCTCAGCTTGGTAACCAGGGATCTAACACGTGATACCATATTGTGCAAATGCTCCTCGTGCACAGTGAAACGCTTTGCACGCCATCACTGATCACAGTGACTGCCAGTTCTGCAAGTACATGGAATGGTGAAAAAAAGAAATCACTAAACTCAGACTGAAATAGAGTTCATTGAATCATGCCAACACACAAACACGCACATCTCATTAACAAAATATAGTAAGCACAAAGATAATGGACTTCCAAACGTGTTTTTTTAAATGGTTATAGCCAAATGTATCAATAATATCCAGTCCCTTTACTCCGTGTATGTTAGTAACCAGACAGATGGAGCTCTGGGATTAAAGATTACACACATTTTATATCCACCACCCAAAATAAAAAACAATCTAAATTTCTCATTAAAACTTTATGGCTGGGTTTATCTCGAAATTATTTGTAACAAATTAAACACAAACATCATTCATACGAAAACATTTAGTTATTATGAGCGCCTTTATATGATTATCCAGATGGTGTTTTATATCAATTAATGCGAATTCATTTGTCTGGACTTGCTGATGGGACACTGAGCAGTTTACTGTAACAATAGCAATCTTTATGATTTCCAGATAAACTGATTAGAAAAGGAAATGGTTTAAAGGGTAATATTCCCCTTTCGAATCAGAACAGCCACGCTCACCTCTGCTCGGACAAATGTCCCCAAACAGACAGGCAGCGGATTGAACAATGATCCTTAATACAATCAATATGCACTTTTGTGAGTAAATCAATTAATTAGTCTTTCTAACAGCAACACTTCAGAGGGTCCATTGGCACAAAGTCACACAAAGTGATCATATGTGTCTTTTTTATAATTAAGCCACGATGGTAACACACCTTTTATTGGAATTAGCAGAAATATCAAGCATGAAAACACTTTGCTAAGTGGGCGAAAGACTTTACCCAAGCACGTGTCGAGGGCAGATAGCAGATTGTGTACAGAGCACACGTAGGGTTTAACGGGGTTCACTTTGTAGCTTGTGCACGGGCTACGCCATGTTTTGCGTTTGCTGACAGTGATTTTCCAGTCTGTCACTGGAGTATTATCAGCAAGCACACGAAAGGTTAATTTTCCCAGTGCAGTTTGATTTATGTGTCTGATTGGTTGTTTGCCTGAGCTGATGGCACTGATTTAGCTAGACTCCTTGTTGACACTTTCTATTTGTCTTTAGGTAAACGTTAAACATGACAGCTCACCCCTGGCACCCTGGGAAGGCCGTACTGGCTGCAGAATGTGCTTCTTCCCACCTACGTCAAGAGGGTTGTGAGTACCTGCCAAATAACCCTGGGTCAAGCTGCAATACTGGCTGGACCAGCCAGGGGTTCCTGATACAGCTGGCTAGGACCCTTACTAATCGGAATATTGATATTATGAGGGATCCGGGAAATGTCACAGCATTATACAATAATTATTAAGGACTTGTTTGAGCAGGCTGGGGGTCCAAGTTCAATGTCTGAGTCCAGCTTGATTCCTCCAGGTTCAATTTCTGGATCTTTAAAGTCACTTAAGACAAAAGGTGTTCTGAGAAACACGGTTTATTATGTGTTATGTATTAAAGTAGTAATTTTAGTATTTTAGAAAGTATTTGCAATTTTACTTTTAACAATACTGTTAAGTTTACACTGGGTTGGCAGTTGTTTGGAACCTTAACCCCTGTTATAAGATCACCTTGGACAATAACAGAGCAGCATCTATGTAAACCAATAAACCACAAGCTTGTGGGACAGACTATGCATCTGACATACAGCCCAAAATGCACGTTTAGCTCCAAACAATGTCATCTCAGCCATTTGTCCTTTCAAGATGGATTTACCCACATCTAACCAAATCAATCCATCCGGGATTTACAGACGTCTAACCAAATCAATCCGTCCGGGATTTACCCACGTCTAACCAAATCAATCCGTCCGGGATTTACAGACGTCTAACCAAATCAATCCGTCCGGGATTTACAGACGTCTAACCAAATCAATCCGTCAGGGATTTACAGACGCCTAACCAAATCAATCCGTCCGGGATTTACCCACGTCTAATGAAATCAATCCATATGGGAATTACCCACATCTAACCAAATCAATCCGCCAGAATTCTCAGACGCCGAATCAAATCAATCCGTCCGGGATTTACAGACGTCTAACCAAATCAATCCATCTGGGATTTACAGACGTCTAACCAAATCAATCCGTCTGGGATTTACCCAAGTCTAATGAAATCAATCCATATGGGATTTACCCACGTCTAACCAAATCAATCTGCCAGAATTCTCAGACGCCGAATCAAATCAATCCGTCCGGGATTTACAGACGTTTAAACAAATCAATCCGTCTGGGATTTACCCACGTCTAACCAAATCAATCCGTACAGGATTTACCCACGTCTAACCAAATCAATCCATCTGGGATTTACCCATATCTAACCAAGTCAATCCATCCAGGATTTACCCACGTCTAATGAAATCAATCCATTCGGGATCTACAGACGTCTAACCAAATCAATCTGTCCGGGAGTTACCCACATCTAACAAAATCAATCCGTCCGGGATTTACAGACATCTAACCAAATCAATCCGTCCGGGATTTACCCACGTCTAAACAAATCAATCCGTCTGGGATTTACTAGTTCACCGGTCAATAATTGATGGATCAATTCACTTTGATGTGGACGAAAAGGAATCTGATGTCTAATTTTTGCGCAAGTCCATAGAATATGATCTAAAAAAAAAAGAACGTACTGTACATGTGATCAGTAGAAGGTATATGCTGTTTTTAAAGTACTATATAACAGTTTGTGATGTCATTGCTGCTATAATCCATATGTGACAAACTCCCCTCTTCAAGTGAGTTTGCCACAAGCTCCTGGAGGAGCCTGCTTGCCAGCCTCCTGCCCAAAACAGGAGGCTGGCAAGCAGTCTTTTACAGGGAAACCTGTAAAAGACTACCAAACTTGACCGACTGTTAGCACTGATTTCCCTGGAACTGTTTTGGGCATAGGACCATGTGCACGGTCGGTCAAAACTATGACTTACAGGAAATTCCTGAACCCCTGAACTGATCTGGGTGATTTTTGGATATGTTGTTCACTCAGATCGGGGCTATAAGGGGATGTGTTGGATTTTGGGGTACTTTGTGAAAATTCGTTTTTTCTGCTTGGAGATAATAGAGTTACTTACAGGACTTTACTCAATTATCTCCTAAGCAGAGGGGAGGGATTGTGTGCTGTACATGGGAGTGTCACAGACTTTATGTTTGTTCTGATTGGTTTATGTCCTTTGTGTTCCTATGCCCCATCAGGTCCAGGGGGTGTTCCTTTGGCCTGGAAAATTGTATAAAAGACCAGTGTGTCCCATTAAACTTGAGATTCCAGCTTACACTCCAAAACTGTGTCGACCTGTTATTGGAGGGAAAGAAGATTTGCTCCGGTGTCTGCTGTTCCAGCTTGCAGGGGATTCAACGGGGAAAGTCCTTGTAAGAACTAGAGCTAATTCCCCATTCGGTTCCAGAGCTCCCAGGACTGAGTGTCGTCCAGTGCCTGGAGGTGTCGGAGCTAACTCCCCATTCGGCTCCAGGAAGGAGGTGGCGGTTCCAGGGCTCCAGTCAAGCTACGGCGACTGAGGGCAAGAAGTGCTGTAGTTTGTCCCCTGTTCCAGCTAGGAAGTGGTCCTTTGGTGGAGGTACCCAGTCTGGGTGCCAGGTGATCCGTTACACCATACATTTGCTATAACCCATACATTTGCTATAATCCATACATCTGCTATAACCCATACATTTGCTATAATCCATACATTTGCTATAACCCATACATTTGCTATAACCCATACATCTGCTATAACCCATACATTTGCTATAATCCATACATTT